CCGCGCTGCTGGACTCTGCGCGGATGCGTGCGAGCGAGCTGGCGACGCAGATCCCGCCGCCGACTGCGACCGCGCCGGTTGAGATGGAGGGCTACGCGGAGCCGGGCGAGGAGGGGGCTCTGACAAGCTGCTGCACATATTCGTCTGCGGCGCGCCTCTAGCAGGGGGCCGACGGCGCGCGGCGCGCGCCAGCTTTTGCGCCGCCAGCGCCCATGACGTTCGCAATATTTGCCATGTCTTATCAAGAAACAAACAGTGCATCGTGTGTGAGCGAGAGGGCGACAGCTAAGAATCCTACAAGGGGTGCGCATAAAAAAGGGTGGATTGCCGGGCGCAAGAGCCGGGTCTTCCGCCAGCATGGAGTTCCCACCAACCTGAAGTGCAATCTTTGCGATTTCGAGGGGTTGGATTGGCCTTCTCCGTGGAGGCATCTAGGATCAAGCCGCCTGGCCAGTTCTTGCGGCGCCGCTATGGCCGCGCCGACGTGTCTCGAGCGCCCCGCGGAGGAAGCGGCTGCAACTGAGTTGGGGGGGGGAGGGGGCGGGCGGCAATCGGGCCAAGTGGGGCAAGGGCAACAGGGGCGGTGGCGGCAATGGCGGCGGCAGAGGCGACGTGGCGGAGCTATGCGCGGCGACGGCGGAGCATGCCGTGGCCCCAGCGCGGCAGGGGGCTTCCCTCGAGGACGCGGTGTGCGACGCGACGCTGGTGGCCGAGGGCGAGGGCGCGCTTGGCGACGAGCTCATCGTCGCAGCTCTGGAGGGCAGCAAGCAGATGAAGGAACTGCAGAGGCAAGGAAAGTGAGGGCGGTCGCAGGAACCACAGACATCGAGCGGAGGGACACGACCGAAAGAACGGGGCCAGGAAACAGCGAGGGCCCGAAACTACAAAGTGGTGCTGGGATAGGTTGAGGGGATTGATCGCCCCCGTTGCCCACGCCCGCGTTTCACAACGTGCTGCGCGGGTTTCTGGGCGGACGTCGTGCTGGAGAGCACGGCGAAGCAGCTCGAGCAGGTGGTGAAGTAGTTCCGCTACGCGAAGTTGAAGGATTCGGAGCCGCTGAAGTTTGGGATCCCGGCGGTGAACTTCAGCCGCCATCGGGAGCCCGATGTGGGGGTGCATCCAAAACTTGGGGAAGGCGGGCGCGGTGTCGGGCCCAGCGCCCCGAGGCCCACTCGAGTGCGAGATTGCGCGGTGCCTGGCAGTGTTCGGAGGCGCGACTGCCTGAGGACGAGCGCCAGGCTGCAGGAACTCATCGCCGGAGGGGTCGTGCCAGCGAGCGTGGTGAGGCCCGAACCTGAGGAAAACAGATCTGAGACAGATCTTAAAACTCTGCTCCCGCAGATTCCTGTAGCGGTCGTGGCAAGGGCCAATTCGATTAGAAGGAAGGAGAGTGGGCGGAGTCTTGGAGGTCGTCGTGGGGGGGGGGAGGGCGACAACCAAAAATTGTGGGGGTTCAGGCCAGTCGGGGACTCCTTGCCTGAGCCGTGCACGTCGGATGCCTTCGGCGGCCCGACGTGCATGGATTAGGAGAAGGGGCCTCAGGCGGTCAGGGCTCCTCCTGGAATGGCGGTCACCTTCGGCGGGGCATTCGCCAGGCTGCGCGCCGTGACGGTGGGCCGCACTGTATGGGCGCAGCGCGGGCCTCGGGTCCCGAGGGCGAAATCGGCCTCGTTCATATTTTCGCCGCTCGCTAATCGGCGATGCTCCGAAGCTCGCTGACTTTTGGTTTTTCCATGCGCCCGCTTAGCCTCCCGCGTAGCTCATTCGATTCGACTCGATGCGAGAGGATGATGATCATGGTGATGATGATGCTGATGATGAAGTTGATGATGATGCTGATGCTGTTGATGATGGTGACGATGATGATACTGATGGTGATAGCGATGATGATGGTCATGCTGATGATGGCGATCTTGGTGGTGATGACGAACAGGATGATGATGCCAATGGTGGTGATGATGATTATGGTGATGGTGATGGTTAGCAGGAGGAGGAGGCGGAGGAGGAGGAGGAGGAGGAAGACCTTCCTTGGCCCTCGCCTTATCGTCCGTCGCGCAGTCGCGCCGACTGTGGGCAGGATGCAATGGCGCGTATTTCCGGACCACTGCTGCACTACAGTGACGGACGCACTGGGAGGCGAGGGCGGGACACGCACGCCGTAGGCGCGCGACGCCAGGCGCCCACCAGGATGCGGAGAGTCCGAGTGGACAGGGCTCGCTTCAAGCACGACTCAAAACGCCCGACAAGACGCGGCCAATCCGACGGCGTTGTTGCGGCCGCTGGGTCTTGCCGCCCCGCCCCGGGCGCGGGCGGCACCGACAGCACGGCCGCGGCACGGCTTGCGAAACGGCGCTCGGCACGGAAGGGTGGCGCACGGGGGAGCAGGCAGCAACAGTCATGGCTGTCGGCACGGCTCGGCACGGCACCGCACGGCACGGCATGTGACACGACACCGACGACACAGCACGCAGACCGAGTCTGGCGCAGCGACGAGGGAGGAACCAAAAGTGAATCGACAGAGTCTCCTTGGGCCGAGGGCCTCCAGAGGCTTCCTGCAGCCGACATGGGCCCATGGTTCATGAGGAATCTCCCCGGTCCTTTCCTTGTCTCTCGCGTGTCGTCGCGCCGACGATGGGCAAGCCGCACTGGCGCGTCGGTTCGGGCGGACCTCCTCTGTCCTCCCCCTCCTCCGTATGCTCCTCCTGCTCCTCCCCTCCTCTATGTCCTCCTCATCCCTCCTCTTCCTCCTCTTCCTGCTCCTCCTCCTCCATCCTTCTTCCTCGTGAAAAGCTTCGCCGCGTCGCACCCCTGGACTTGTCGGTAGGGCGGGCCAGGCGGTTCGCTTGAGACGTCCTCACCACTTATGACCCTGAGGCTTGAAAATTGCAACAGTTTCGCGGACGGAGGGCGGGTGGTCTTCAAAATGCGAATCTCGCCACAGCGCCGGGCGCATTCGCTTTAAGCGTTCGAAGCGGTTTCATGGATGGAGGGCGGGTGGTTTTCAACATGTGAGTCTCGCCGTAGCGCCGCGCACGTTCGCCCCACAAGTTTTGCAACCGTGTTGCGGATGGAGGGCGGCTGGTTTTCAAAATGTGGGTCTCGCCCCAGCCGCGCGTAATTTCGTTTAAAACGTTCACAGCCGTTTCATAGATGTAGGGCGGGTGCTTTTCAAACTTTAGTTTTCGCTTCAGCGCCGCTCGCATTCATATCAAAAGTTTACGAGAGCTCTTCAAGAATGTGTATGCCCAATGTGGTGTTCTGGCATGATTTGGTTCGCGGACCTGAAGTCCCAGGAATCGTGTTCTGGCACGGTTGTCATCCAATGGGGCATTTTCCATGATGAAGAAACATTCTTGTCGGGACCCATGCAGAGGGAACTTGGAGGGAGGGTTTATTGCAATGTCATTGATGCGTGTTGGGAGCACACTGGTCCTCCTGCTGCTGCTGCTGCTGCTGCTCCTCTTTCTCTATATCCCTGCTCGTCCTCTGAGGTCCTCCTCCTCCTCCTCCTTCTCCTCCTCCCTGCGTCCTCCTCCTTTCCTTCCCCCCTGTGGCGTTCCCGGAGCGCCCCCGGGCGGCACGGCCGAGCCTGCCCCCCCCCGCCGCAGGCAGCGGCGCGGCCGCGTACGCCGGGCAGATTGCTGAGACGTGTCTGCTCTTCTTGTCCGACGCGCTTCTGCTGTACGGCGCGAGGTGGGCCCCGCGGTGGCGGCGGCGCGCGGCGGCGTGCCAGCCCCGCCTCCGAGGATCGTCGACGATTTTTTCCGGCGCTCTGCAGACCAGTTTGCTTCGACGATTTGTTCGCCGCTTTTCGGCGATTTTGTTCGCCGCTTTGTTCGAAGATCTTTTCGCCGCTTTTTCCTCGATGATGTCCCGTGCCAGTTTCTCTTTGGTGTGCGCCGACGTGTTGTGCCGATCTTCCGAGGGTCGTCGAGGGTTTCCGTAAGCTTTCAGAGGCCTTCGGAGGCTCCCGGGGTCGCCGTCGTCGCCGTCGCCGGCGCCGTCGTCGCCGTCGCCGAGGCTGCTACTGCCGATGACGATGACACAATGACGATGTTGTTGATGATGATGAGAAGGATGATGAGGAGCATGATGATGGTGATGATCATACTGCCGCATATGATAACGACGACGATCACTATGACTAGGATGATGCTGATGGTGCTGCTGATGAGGTCATCATTGTGATGCTTACGGTGATGTTGATGGTGATGTCTCTGCTGCTTCTGGTGATGATGAGGGTCCTGATCCAGACTTACTGACGGCAATGACAACGATGACGGCAACGACGAAGGTGATGATGATAGATGGTGATGACGATGATGAGGATGATGCTGAT